ATGTTTTAGCGCGGGGGGGACTAATTCTTAGCCTGGCTCCGCCCTCCTACGCACTTCCGCTCAATTTCATTTTCCTTCAGTACTATGTCTGGGACTGCTGTATATTCTTAGGTTTCCAGAAATCAATTTTTTGTAGGACCAATCAGCGAATAGAGGGAGTGGCTGAGAACGATGACGTTGATGTAGCGCGTCAGTTTGAGTTGGAGTTCAGTGATGGCAGCGGAGAAAGACGTGAGAAAATCTATTCGGTCCGTTGTTGAAAAACTGCCTAATATACAGAAGTTAAAGCCGGAGCAAGATCAATGTTTGCTAAGTGTTGTTGGTGGCCATGATGTTGTGGCCCTCCTCCCCACGGGGTTCGGGAAAAGTTTAATTTTCCAGCTCACTCCGCTAGTGGTGAATGAGTTAGCTAAGGCGAACGATAGGGATGCAAAGCCGATAGTTGTTGTCGTCTCCTCTTGTTGCACTAATGGAGGACCAAGTGAGGGAGGCAGAAAGGTTAGGAGTTCGTGCTGGGCAGCTCGGCGTGCACGATGATCACTGTACAGCATTTGCGGCAGATCCGAAACGACCGCAGCGGCGTATTGTTAATGATTACACCCAGCTTCGACAGTTGACTGAATACATCACTGTCCTTAGTGTCAAATATACATTTAGAATTGTTCCTTGAACTCTTAAATTCGATGAACAAAACATGCAGCTCTCGTTGACAGACATCTTATTCTAAACATAATCCTCTGATCATTCGGACTTGTTTTTTTTTATTGCTTAAAACAATACACAAGTAATAACAGAAAACATAATACAAAAACAAACAAAAAATAATAATAATAAAAAACAAAACAAAAATAAAACAGTAGGGGGATAATATAAAATAAACATTAACAAGTTAAGAGAAAAACATGACACTGAAAAAAGGAAAATAATTACAAACAGATAATGTTTTTAAGACTTTTTTTGTTCTCAGACAACTTAATTGAAAAGAGGTATTTTTAAAATTCTTTCACAAATATAAGAAAGAGAGGTTTAGCATTTAGATATTTAGATTTATGAATGTGGAATTCGGACTTGTTTCCAGCCGGTTTGGGCGCATGACATACGTCACGACCACACGTTAGCGATTGGCTATGGCAGATCCTGAGTGACTCTGGGCAGATCCAATAGTTTTGAACTTTAACAGAGAACCCGCCTACAAGGAAGTAAACGTTTCTCAATGGAGTGAGGCCAGACTCTCTGTACAAATGAAATGTACGAGATTCTGGTAGAACCAGGCTAACTAATTCTATCGCCCCTTTTGCTAAAAGATTCTGTACTTCGGTGCGAAGCACGTGACCCACGTTGCTTCTCACCGAAGTCTCGAGAACCGCCTGAAATTTTGGGGGTCTGCGAGCGAATTGGAGCGAGTAACCTCGTTTTATAATGTTTATGACCCAACTCGACACACCGGGGATAGCTTGCCAGGCTAGAACCCGTGTGGCTAGGGCTTGACACACAGATTGGGGCTGATCGCCTAATGCAGGGGGACCTGATACCCTCATATTGTGATTTTTGCACACATTGAGTATTGGACTGACTATACAAGCATTTGCGTGTGGGGAAGTCAGTGTTACAACAGGGGAGGGGCCGCCTTGTGAAGGGGGACCTGATACCCTTATATTGTGATTTGTGCACACATTGAGTATTGGACTGACTGTACAAGCATTTGCGTGTGGGGAAGTCAGTATTACAACGGGGGGGAGCCGCCTGATGAAGGGGGACCGTGAACCCATGTGTTGTATTTGTGAAACATGCTCTTTTTGTGCTCTATTTGGGTCGCCGTAAAAACGGCGTTTGTTTGCAAGAACGCGCTTACTGTTGCGGGCCTGTTTGTAGTAATAAAATCCCCAGCCGCCTGAACTGAACAGGGGGCTGTGGGAAGTTTTCTTGGCTTCTTCGAGGGTGGTCCGGCGAGTGCGGGACTCGTGCCCTCTCTCTTTCCTCTGCGTGCTAGGACGACTTTGGCGGCGCTGTGTGGGGCGCAGCGCTTGGTCTCGGGCCTTGGCGTCGGGGAAGCGGGAAGCGCTTTGTTGTTCTTGGCTGGCGCAGGGCATCAGCCGCAGGGCGGGGCTGAGAGGCCTGTTTCGCGGGCTTTGTTGGCCGAGGCGTCGACGGGACTAGCTTGTGAGCACTCGACGCTGAGCTAGAGCGCTTAGGCAGGAAGTGACGCATGGCCTGGGACGCTTTCTGTGCCTCGGTGTATCTCTCCGAGAACCCCTTCACCGCCGGGCCGAAGAGGGTGGTGCTGGATACTGGGGCGTCGAGGAACCTCGTTCTCTCCACGTCCTTAATGTCAGTGAGGGTAAGCCAGAGGTGGCGCTCGAGCATGACCAAACTCGCCATATTCCTCCCTATAGCCTGTGCTGTGGCCTTGGTAGCTCTTTAGCTGATCTACCTCGAACAGGACCGGAGATGAAGGAGCTGGAGAGAGTGAGGCACGCGGGGACGTGGCCGGCGTGCGTTCACTAACATCCATGCTCTCCGGTTGCCGTTGGCTGCGGTGCTTCTTCTTCTTCGGCTGAAGTAGGGCCGGAGAGGGAAGCGCGGGAGAGGCGATGTCGCCATCACGGGAGAGGGCTAGCCGAGTTCGCAGCACGGAGATAGGCATGCTCTCGCAGGCCGCACATCCGCCGGCAGACAATGCATTCTCCGCGTGGTGAAGTCCCAGGCATGGAATGCATTTAGCGTGTTCGTCCGCCTTTGAAACAACGCTCGTACAGATAAAACACTTAAAAAAAAAGAATAATGAAAAGGATATCGCCGGATAGCCACAGGAGAGACGGCGTCAGGAGAAACACGGTTGAATTGTGTCGTCTGCTGAACTGTAGCTCGCTCAGGCTGAAGGCTTGTTCGACGGCGAAGGTTTCATTTCCCGCGCCATTGGATATGCAGTTGCCGCAGCGCAGCCTATGAGCGTGCCAGACGCTCATGTTCCGCTGTGCTGCTGCAAATGCGTTTTACATAAAGGGTTCTATAAATCGAGGAAAAGGAGTTTCCCCCACTGCGTATAGCTACGCAATACGAAGTGACCGTTCGAAAGGGAACTGGGTCACAGTGAACACAAAATGCCACGTTACGTACAGACATTGATCAATTACTATATTTTTATAAATATTTTTTATTTAAAAAATTATGTTTATTATAATAATATAACAAACCTGTTAAAATGAACTTAAAAGACAAAAACAAATTTCTAAGACAATTTTCATTTTTTGCTACTTATCGTTTATCTCCCTTTGTGAATAAGGAGAAGATAGATTGATAGACAGAGATAGATAGATAGATAGATAGATAGATAGATAGATAGATAGACAGACAGACAGACAGACAGACAGACTATAGAAAGTTTCAGTCCACAAATCAGCAACATTCACCATGGATTTAGGCTAATGTAGTAACCATAGTATTGTGACAGAAATAGTCAAACGCTTACAAGTACTACACATCTTTTTCCAGCACTTCAAAACTATAATATTATGTAGAAATTTTATTTTTAATGTGATGACGAACACATTTTTTTGTTCATCGTTCAAAGATTGTCTTAAAACAAAAAATAATTAAAATGTAGGAAAACTCTTATTTAAACACTTATTTAAAAATAAAAATTTAATTAAATTACCATTGTAAACAGTAGGATGCTTATTGGCTATTTTCACTCCCTAATATAATTTTTTTCACTCGTTTTACTTTTTAATTAATATTAAGACATTATGAATGATAATAATTAAAGTTAATTTCATCTACACCCTAAATTAAGCTTAGTGGTTTATTGTCAGCCCCAGTGCACATATTTTTGTAGAACTCAGTGGCTCCGGTGCTGCTGCCCTCAAATGTTAGTCTGGAGCCCTGTGAACTTAAAATAAAACTGCACATTGTAATATCTGTACGTTAAGCCTGTTTATTATGAAAGAATTTGTCAGTATTATAGTTATTTTGGGGGAAATTTGAATAATTGCATTGCAAGCCGATTTAAGGTGTGCCCCTAAATTTTCTGCTTGAAATTTTCAGTCAGGGGCTCTAGCGCTCCTAGTAAAATAAGTTAGTCTGGAGCCCTGAGATAGATACATAGACAGACAGACAGAAAGATAGAGAGATAGATAGACAGACAGACAGACAGACAGACAGACAGACAGACAGACAGACAGACAGACAGACAGACAGACAGACGATAAATAGACAGACGATAGATAAGAGAGATAGACAGACAGACAGACAGACAGACGATAAATAGACAGACGATAGATAAGAGAGATAGACAGACAGACAGACAGACAGACAGACAGACAGACAGACGATAGATAGACAGACGATAGATAAGAGAGATAGACAGACAGACAGACAGACAGATAGACTGACAGACGATAGAGAGATAGATAGATAAATAGAGACAGACAGAAAGATAGAGAGATAGAGAGAAATAGACAGATGACAGATAGAGATAGACAGATACACTAATACAGACATTGATCAATAACTATATTTTTTTATTTATTTTTGTAAAACTTTAATAACACTTCATTTGTTAACATTAGTTAACATGAATTAACAATGAACCATACTTCTACAGCACTTAGTTTGTGTAAATCACAGTTTTGAACATGTACATTTAATTTGAACGTACATTTTTGTTAATGTAAGTTAATAAAAATGTACATGTTCATATTAGTTCACAGTGCACTAACTGATGTTAACAGATGCAACTTTTGATCTTAAAGTTATCAAATGCTGTGATTTACACAAACTAAGTGCTGTAGAAGTATGGTTCATTGTTAATTGGTTCAAGTATGGTTCATTGTTCATTGTTAAAGGTTATTAAATGCTGTAAAAATAGTTTTCTCATTGTTAGTTCATGATAGTTAACGAATTAACTAATGTTATACCTTATTGTAAAGTGTTACCTATTATTTTGCTATATATGTAGGCTAATTATAAAGAAATTAAACTGTTGGAACGAAATTGCATACCTCTGCTGCCATGTTGATGTTGATCAATGTGCTGATGAAAAAAGCATGTGAGCCCTACTCTCAAAACACTGCCCTTTCTAAGTCAGTAACCCTGATGTGGTAGGAAAAGGAAGTTGTTATTAGAAATTATACCAATGCTTGAGGTTTGGTGCGTGCTCTTTGCTCTTATAGCTCTTTACATCATTACCAAAACAAATTCAGCAATGATTTTAAAATGTTCCTTAATTAAACCTATCCAAAGCATGAGGTAATAATATAACATAGCCTGCTTGTTAAAAGACAAACAAATGTTTTTAACTCTATGACAAGCTGGGGTGTACTGTGTTTCCTGAAACCATCGTTCCAACGAACATTCGCAAAAAGCAAAGTTCAACGACAGGTCTCGTGCTGTGTTAGAAGCAGAGTTTCTTGTTTTCATGCATGTGGACTCAATTAATTTTTACCTTGAACCAAATAAGGAAGCTGGCATTCAGTACAATCTATATATTTTATTTAGAATACATACAAATGTCGTTTACGTCTTTTAATTTGATTTAAAGCATCGTTTTTGAAGAGTGAGAACGTGCTCTAGTTAGTAGGTTAGACCGGGTAGGCAGTCTACAGTTGGTACAGCCTACACTTTTAGCTTTTTCCGTTACCACACCAAAACTAGGGACTGAAAAGAAGTGTTTTTTTCATATAACATTTCCTTGTCTACTAAAATATTAATAATTATTAAAGGTATAGTTCACTTCAAAATGAAAATTCTGTCATCATTTACTCACCCTCAAGTTGTTTCAAACCTGTATGAATTTCTTTCTTCTGCTGAACACAAAGGAAGACATTTCGAAGAATGTCAGTAACCAAACAGTTAACTGGACCCATTGACTTCCAGAGTATTTTTTTTCTTCCAAAAAACACATAGCGTTCGTATCTCACTACTCTACCCTGCCAGTACATACTAGATAGATCAAAGTGACATTACGTTAACCAACCATTCAGAAACGTCCTGTTCGAGCCTTAACTGTCAAACTTCTTTGCGGCCGTCATCTTGTTCCGGTCCGACTCTGGTTCAGACTGATACGGTTGGACAGATGTGTCCTCAGAGACTCCCGCTGCCATTCTTTCTCCAAAATATACCCTCAACTGTTGTCAAGGCAACACTCGACGTGTGTTGTGTCAAAACGCCCCACAGAACAGAGGGGCGGAGTGAGCGAAGCTCATTATGATTTAAAGACACATGCACTTAAACGGCGTGCTGAAAACAGAGCTGTTTTTGACCAGGTAATGAGTGTTTCCTTACAATAGGCTACTAATGAGAATTTTTAATTAAAGTATATTACAAACTTTTTATTTAGACCCTAAAGAATCATATTAACTTGTATAAAAATGGCATTATATGACCCTTTTAAAGCACCGTTTTTGAAGACTGCACATGTGCGAACGTGCTCTACTATGTAAGAAGGAGCCTATGATTGAATCTGGAAATAAAGCGAAATAACAGAGAAATATGAGAAATAGTCCTCAGATGCCATATCTGTAATTTATATCAAAACATCTAGCATTAATTCGATCTCAAACAGTTTCATTAAAAGAAGTTATTACTCCACCACGTGCGTGACGTTATAAACCAACGTGGTTGAACGACCACTTTGCGACAATATGGTTTCGGGAAACAGTCGTGACTAGCTAGTTGTTTTCTTCAATGATGCATCGTACTATGGTAGTTAAGCACCGAGTTATGTCGTTGTACGGGAAACACATCCCACACTTGTTGCGCACGCAAGTTTTTTTTAAGGTGTTTCAAATGTGCCTGTAATACCAACTGTACCCAATCGACCCTATACGAGCCTATGATTGAATCTGGAAATAAAGCAAAATAACTGAGAAAATGAGAAATAGCTCAGATGCCATATCTGTAATATCAAAACAACTAGCTTTAATTCGATCTCAAACAGTTTCACAAACGTGGTTGAATGACCAATGAACGACAATACAGTTTCGGGAAACAGTCGTGACTAGCAAGTTGATTTCTTCAACGATGCACTTGTGAAGCAGCGAGTTACGTCGTTGTATGGGAAACACAACCCTGAGCAGTTATTGGAGGTGTAAAAGTCACAGTTTGTGTGTTGAAGTGATAATGAGACTAGGGGTGTGTGTGTGGGGATCTACCTGCGACTGGGGCATTCATCAGCATGAATAAACAGTCATTAAAGGGGAAGCACATCAGGAATGAATCATTGTTTGTTGTACTGACAAGCATGATGCAATTCGTGCCTGTGACAGCAGTAGGCGTCTACAAGTCTGTGTGACACATTTGAGGGTGGTGTGTGAGGGGATCTACCTGCCACTGGGGCATTCAGCAGCATGAATAAATAATCATTAAAGGGGAAGCACATCAGGAATGAATCATTGGTTGTTGACTTACAACTGATTGGATGACATGGATGATGCAATCCTTGCCTGTGACACCATGCCTATATGTGTGACACGTTTGAGGGTGACCACCCATCCCGCTTTGGTTGCAGGCTACCGCACAGCATTTTCGCCCCTTATCGTGGCACGTCGCATATTGAGAAAATGTCCTGTCTGTTGGTTTTTAATTTTCATATGAAGAAATCGTGCATGCCTTCTTTTGCCTTTTTAAGAAAGCATTTTATTTATTCTTTTTGCGGCTTAGTTTTTCCACCTAGGCTATATATAACAGCGCTCTACAAATAGGCTACAACAGCTGTTTTTTATTCCTATCCACTGGTTGAAAAGAAAGGAGTAAACAGAGTCAATAGTGGCCTACGGTGTGACGGCTGTCAATCAAAATGTGTCAATTCGTTATGTGTTCCCTGTCAGAAAACAAATGGATAATTCGGTAAATTAAAATTTTATTCATCTATAGAATAATGTGAGCCTCCAGTGTGATTTTCATGTGCTGTTTTCTCGTGTTTCAGCCAAGTGTGCTATCTGGTGCTGCAGAACAGATCAACTTGTTGCCTACTGTGGTTGTTTTAATTCACATAATTTCTAAAAAAAATATGAAAGTGTTTGGTTTAATATATTCTTATAAGACTGCCAATTAACTAATTTCATGTTGTTTTATATTTTCTTTGTTCATTGTATATTTTGTTGGATTTTAGTTGGACTTGGTCAGAACTGTTTCAGAAATAGTTATCTGCATGATGCCTGCTGTCTTTGGGCTCAGTGATGTTGAATTTAAAGGACGTAAAATAAAGACATGTTATGTTACATTGTGATGTAATGGTGTTTTATAAAAGGGACTAAAGAACAAACTATTTTTTATCAGCTGAAAGGCAGAATACAAATGTTTTTTATTAAGTTAGATAGACATTTCATAGAATTAGAAAAAAAAGTAAATAAAGTGAAATGAAATGTAAAAATAGGGCTGTGAATTGATTTGTATAAGGTGACTATTAATCACACAGGTTTTAATAGTGATTAATCACACCTAAAAATTTAATTCAGTTTACACTTGGGGTCAAATTCTCACTATTAAAGTGGCTTATTAGCATGCATATTACTAGAATATTGGCTGTTTATTTAGTACTAATAATGCACATATTAATGCCTTAGCATGACCATATTCTACATCCCTTATCCCAATTCCTACCCACCTTAACAACTACCTTACTAACTATTAATAATCAGTAATTATGAGTTTACTGAGGCAAAGTTATAGTTAAAAGTTAGTTAATTGTGAGAATTGGACCCTAATCTAACATAATTTAAATATACATAAATCAAATATATTCTAATTAACATTTGTTTAATGACATCTTTTCAGGAACTGGAAAAAAAAAACGGATGCTGAAATAATTGATTACATTTTTTAAAGCGTTAAACAGTCAACATTAGGCCCTAATCGCAAAAATTACGTTATTTCTCTAGCACTAAATACAATAAATAAAAAATAACATAATATATTGTGCAACTGCAGTTATCAAACACATTTATATTTATTGATTGTATATTAAAATATATTAAGTCAAATGTGTTACACATCTTGCAAGTTATAAATTTCAATAGTGATAAAAAAGTACAATTAAAAGCATCTCTTCAAAAATCATCTATTAATAAGTGACTATAGAAACATCATAATTTAAATTATGATGATAACTGTACCATTGGAACTGTTATTGGATAAATCATCATTCTGAAACACTGAACTTGATTCAAAACTGTATTTTATTGAGATTTGATAGAAGATACATAATACATAAACACACAAAATGATAAATTATACATGAATGTAGCAACTGTTCAAAGTTGTTAGTAGATTTAGCTTACAGACAAAAGCAATAATAGTTGATATTTTAAATATATTAATTACACACATTATATGTTTTGCAAAGACTTCTTTTCAATGATATCAAAACATAACTAATGTTTCAGCATACACTATAAAAAAGTATATGATCATTAATATGTTTTTACATTGCTTTAACTCATCAAAATAAATTAAGCAATTTTCAAAAATGTTTATGTTATACAAGGTTTTAAGTCATTTTAATGTAATTTGAGTTTAAATAAAAAATTGAAGGCAGAGGCTTTTGTTTCACAGTGTAAAAAGTGACTATAAGTTAGCAATAAATATGAATTATATGTTAGTTTAAAAATATTACTTTAAAAGTATAAATATAAAAAACTGACTTTGAATAAAACACAGTAAAAAAAAAAACATGTCAGCAAATAGGATACACTGCAATGGCAGTAAAACAAACCATTCTTTGGAAGATGTTCCCATTCTCTAAGGGAACCTAACACTTAAATTTAAAATAAGTGACAACTTTGACCAATGCTTGGCCTGGAAATCCTCCTAACAAACTTATCCGACCAATTTATTTAGTTGCCAAGCCAAAGAATTTATTAGCATTTTTAATGGGGTACCAGGCTTCATTAGGGTTGGTCACGTCAGCTTGAATCAAATAGTAAGGTCAACTCATTATGTTTGGGTTAGGTTGTAATTACCATTATATTTGAGAACAGTTCCCAGTTATTAAATGTCATACAAGTGTCATACTATACAAACTCTTAGGTTTCTATCAAGAATTCTAACATGAGCCTTTCTAACTGTGAATTATGATAAAAAAGTTGTTGGGTTTACAGTAAAACTGTTCATCTCTTTGCATGTCCACTTGGTCTACATTTTTTGTGTAGATAAACCATCCTCTGTGGAGAGCTGACTCAAACCGCCGGAGATTGTCTGCCCCACAAGACATGTAAAATACAAGGGACCATTTCTCTGGCTCATCTGCACAGATCGTTTGCAGGTCTTTTTTTTTATATTGCTGAAAAACAGTACAAAACCTTGGTTTAATCGCAGTTTAAAATCTTACTGACTATGTTTATGTTTAGTATTAAACGTTAAATTTAAGTTCTAATGCTCTAACTAAAACCGTAAACTGTATGTCCTAATAGTATCTTCAACAAGACAACACATCAGCAATGAATAAGACCTACCGTAACTGTTAAAATCTTTGTATCTACACCTTGCTTTGTGGTGCATCTGAAGAAGTTTTCTGTGTTTGTGAAGTTCAGCACAACAGGAGTACCTGGAATGTCCATTGTGATCGTGTAAGAGTAGATGGTGATTGGTGCTGAAAAAGCCAAAGCATTGCAAAATAAATTTCAAAATATACTTATGAAGCAAGTGAAAATGAAGAATATTGCTGCAATACACAATTACATGGCCAAGTATACTCTAGCAATAGCTAGTACATTGCAATTTACACAAAATCCAAATAATCTGCATGATTTAACAAATACAATATAAGTGCAATTTTGGTAATCGGGCCCAAATTATAATGACAGCTAAAATAAAAAATAGAACAGACAAAAAAAAAAAAAAAAAACAGTGTCATGAAAAGAGGAATTTCAAACACCATATATTCACATATTATTTGGTACCAACCTGACATGGTGTTATCCAAACATATCTGATGATTATATGGGGTGACATACTTTTCCGTAAAGAAACTCTTAATATACAAATTCTCTTTTTGTTTAAGCAGACACAATTTCCTCGGAGAACCTGAGATAAAGGAAGCAGAATTGTTACACAATTCTCCAAAAGTCACATTTGGTTTTGCATTGGATTCCTTAAAGGGATAGTTCACCCAAAACAATGACTTTCGTTCATCTTCGGAACACTAAATCTGAGCGCTTTTCTGTCCCTCCCTTGACAGTCGACGCAACTACCACTTTGTAGCTTCAAAAAGTTCATAAAGAGATTGTAAAACTAATCCATATGAATTGAGTGGTTTAGTCCAAATTTTCTGAAGAGACACGGTGGTTTTTTATGATGAATAGATTTAATATGGGCTTTTATTCAAACATTCATCAGATATGGTAAACAGAAGCTCAAGCATGCTTGCTTGTTGTGCGAGAACCAATGACGTTCATTCTTGTGTTACGCAGCACATTTGAGCATCAGCAAGAACCAATGTGGTTTGTTCCCACACGTCAAGCAGGTTCGGTTGAGCTTCTGTTTATATTCGCTGATCAATGTTTATATGTGAATAAAAGCCTAAATTCAATCTGTTCATCATATAAAGCGATCATGTCTTTTCAGAAAATATGAACCACTCGATTCAAATGGATTCATTTTACATTCTCTTTATGAACTTTTTGAAGCGTGTGTTTCAAAGATGAACTAAAGTCTTACGGGTTTAGACCGACATGAGGGTGAGTAACTGATGACAAATTTTTTTTTTCATTTTTTGGTGAACTATCCCTTTAAAATCTCATTATTGTAGTGTTTGGTTTTTTAGGGCTGTGCAACGATTAATCGCGATTAATCGCATCCAAATTAAAAGTTTGTGTTTACATAATATATGTGTGTGTACTATGTATGATTATTGTGTATAGTTTAATACACACACATGCATGTATATATTTAAGAAAAATTTGTTATTTATATATATAATATGTATATTCATTTATAATATAAATTATATATAAATTGTATATACATGCAAATATTTCTCAAATATATACATGCATGTGTGTGTATATATACAAAATAATTATACACAGCACACACACACATATATTGTGTAAGCACAAACTTTTCTTTTGGATGCGATTAATCATTGCACAGCCCTAGGGTTTTTTATTTATTTATTTATTTTACATCAATATTAGAGCATTTAAGAAATTTAAAAGATAAAATATTTGTGTATTGTGCAATTGATTGCACACATAAAACAAATTTACAGATAAAAATGACAATGAATCCAACTCTCATTTCATACCAGAGGTAACCGCAGCACTCGCAGGCAGGACCACAACTTCATTAAATTTGCAATTGGTCTTTCCACAGTTGTTGCAAGGGTTGTCAGGGTCACAGCCTCGAGCAAGAACCAGACTGAAGCTCGTATCAACCATGGAGACAATTAGCAAATTTTCATCATCGAAAGTGTCGTCCTCAATGTCTTCCCCCTCCGGTTGTGAAGGTGATGGTTCCTGGCTCCCATACGCCTCCAGCTCAGACTCTCTTACCATCATCAGGCTGAAACTCATGAGCATCGGCTCCTTTTTATTGACACGGAGCTCCTCAGATTCGCACTCTTCTGTTTTTGTTTTGCAAGGATGATGTATGGTCTAAGAGAGATTATTTGAGCAACAGAGTTGAAGAAAATGAAGTCAATCTAGCTCAGGTACAGTTTTATTCCTCAAGCAATTACTCAAAAAAAACATGATGATGTAATCTCTGGAATAAAACACACACACACACACACACAAAAGCCCATGTGATAAAAAATAAATTCCCTGACTAGGCGAAAAAATCCCCAGTGAAAAGTTTTGTTTCACTTGTCTCTACCGGTCACATTTAGATGGGTTAGATCAAACAGAAAAGTGAGTGATATGAGAGTGCAATAGTCTGTGTAAATGCAAAACTCACAAGTAAGGGAGATCCTTCAAGCAGAAGATCAGCAAATGCCTCTGGAGTCAAATCTTCCACATTTATGTTGTTTATCATTAGGAGTTTATCCCCCTTGCTGAACAGATAGATAGATAGATAGATAGATAGATAGATAGATAGATAGATAGATAGATAGATAGATAGATAGATAGATAGATAGATAGATAGATAGATAGATAGATAGATAGATAGATAGATAGATTCATCTCACACTCATGAAAGGATATATATTGTACATCATCAATAATCTTACCTTGTAAACATTCCTTTGTTATAGTTTAAAAAGCCCTTCACTTCATATGAGTGTTTCCCTTCACATTCAGTGTGGAGCAACGTAACACCACCAGAAACAGGATTCCCCTATAAGATGTCACACATGAAATGTTTTCAACTGCCACATTTCAACTGAACACTTAACATACTGAAGATGTTGATCAACTGTTGTATATGAAATCAGCTATAGATTTGCAAACAACAAAACACTACATACCTCTGATGCCATGATGAACTCAGATTGCGATGTGTGAGTCTCGACTCTGAAACACTGTCTTTTGAAAGTCAGTTGACCTGACGCTGTAGTAAGAAAAGGAAGCTAAATTAGTATGTCACTAAACCAGTGTGAGGGTTGGCTGGAAAAGGAGAAGTAATGAGTTGTAGGGAAAGGACATATGAGTGTAACCCACAATGTTGAGACAAAACAGTGTTTGTGCCATTTATATTTTCCTTAAAGGTGTAGTTCACCCAAAACAATACAATTTTGTCATCATTTACTCCCCCTCATTTTTTTATGTCTGTAACCAAACATTTGATGGGCCCCATTGACTTCCATAGTATTTGTTTTCCATACGGAAGTAAATGGGGTCCACCGTCCATCGACTGTTTGGTTACTCTTCAAAATATCTAATTTTAAAGTTCAGCAGAAGAAAGAAATTCATACAGGTTTTGAACAACTTTAAAGTGTGTAAATGATGACAGAAGGTTTTTTTTTCCTGAACTATGCCTGTAAAGTAAAATAAAATAATTCAGAAAATGTGCTTATACTGCCAAGCTGTGCTTAGGAAAAGCTGATGGCTCACTGTGTGATTGCCTTTGCCAGACAATATGATACCCATGCTGTCGATCTTTAAGTCTAAATTGCCAACTCAAGACTCAAATGTGTGTTGTTTTCAAACCGGTGGACAAATCTGAAGGAAACTTAATCCTTAATTAAGTTATGGACCTGGGCCCGTATGTATAAAACTTCTAAGAAATGCTCTTAAGAATAGTCTTAGGCTTTGACTTAAGTGTCAAATAATTCTTAGTAAAAAGTAAGACTTCTCTAAGAGTAGGACACTTTTATAAAGAAACTAAAAGCAACTTTCAGTAAAGACTAAGACTGATTCTTAAGTGCTGACTGAAGTGGCACTTAAAGGTACAATATGCAGGATTTTTGCAGTAAAATATCCAAAAACCACTAGGCCAATGTTATATATTTTGTTTAGTTGATTACTTACAATATCCCAAATGTTTCCAACAATTTGTAAATCGTGAGAAAATTGCGATTTTAACCAAGAAAACGGGGCGTGTGAGCAGAGGTGAGGAGTCGCCAGTCAATGGCGTCATATCCGCGTTACCCCCGGTTTCCGCCAGGTTTGACCTCGTACTGCACTAGTAACCATGACGACAGACGTTGACAACTGGGTTATGCCCATTATGCCTAGAAGGGCATAATCTGTTGCGCTCACGCTGTTGTTGTTTTGTTCAAACATTATGGACCATGGCAAGCAGACTTTGAGACAAAAAGAGGACTAAAACGAAGATCAACATCTTTCGAGATGCAGAGAGCTCCACGTCCGCGACTCACTTTGACTTGACAGAGACGCGAGTGTTGCATGTTACTTTATTAGACAGGTGAGCAAATGTACATAAAACTAATCAATGTTATGTAGTTCAACATGATGAAAAGTTAGAATATGATCTGTATGTTATTCTAATGTCGATCTAGCTTACTGTCTCATACAGCAAACAAACAACCTAACTAACAACATTCCACCCACAAATGCCGTTTAGTGTGATAGTGTAACTGTTAGAGCAAGTGAAACAGCGCTGCGTTACCTCAAGTTTCATTCGTCTGATAAACTGACCTGTGTGAGTATTAATTCAGCACTTGCGTGTAGTTGGGTAGAATGAAATGTCCTTATTCCTTTATATCCGCGGGACTCGCGTTGCATGTGGCGCTGGTATAGGTCTAGCAATCGCGCCCTGCTTCATACCACAGTCATGTTAAAAACATCAATGTATTCACTCATCCATAAAAGATCCATCAGCTTGACGACAAGATCCATTATCCCGCTTAATGCGGAATATACTTCATTAATATACGCCTTTGTTATTGTAAGAGGTTAGCGACCCCTGGTGGCGAAAAATCCTGCATATTGTACCTTTAAGTGTTGTGAAGTAAGGACTACAATGCTAGAGCTGAGACCTAGTCTTGACACTTGGGAACCTTTATGAATCACACTTATTCTTAAGTTTATAAGAGTAAAATAAGAGTAAAATTAGGTAATTCTTAGAATTTTGACAGACTTAAGACACAAATTTTACTCTGAGTGGCTTATACGGCCCCTGATCTTTTAAAATATACCCTAAAGACAGCTTTTCAGTCTGAATCACTGAATTTTTCACTGTGCAGAGCACAAAACATATTTTACAGCAAACACAGTTATTGAAACTGACTTTTTAAATAGACATTACATTGAGGAAATAAGAAAATGAGGTTTTACATGAATAATGGTACACGTTTACACTCCCAGAACACAATCCTACTGCACTTCCTCACACAAGGTAATATTAACAAAAGAAGAGGAACAAACTGGTTGCGTGGGAAGAGCATCCATCCACACAAAAACAAGACATTTACTGTAATAGATGATACAATATTTGAAATTGTACGATCAGTGAGATGTGCATGCCTCAATTCACTTTGAACTGTCCTTGTATGGAAAATTTTGAGAATGTTGAAGAATCTTCATGGAGCTCTTTGTACAAGAACAGTTCATGGTGACCATCGTCCAGGTCGAAAAAGGACAATAAACCACCATAATAGCTTTGTGTGAGGAACACACTGAAATTCAATTCCTTTTTTCACTGATAATATATCCCTCCAAGTGAGATGACCTTGCCAGCCATGGTCACCATGAATGAACTGTCCTTGAATGACAAAGAGCTGCATGAAGATTCTTCAAAATTCTCCTTTTTGTGTTCCACAGATAAAAGAAAGTCTTTGGGTTTGGAACAACATGGGGTGAATTTTACTTTTGGGTGAACCATTCCTTTAAAGTAAAAATTAGTAAGGTCTATAGTAAGGTCAGTACATAGGACATTCACACACGCACACACACACACACACACACACACACACACACACACACACACACACACACACACACACACACACACACACACACACACACACACACACACACACGGCAAAAACAGTAGCAATGGGCGTACATGACCCTCTGATACAAATCAGAAGGTAGATGTTCATAAACATCCTTGAAACCTGTAGACACGTCAGAACAACCAAACACTCACACAAACATACTTAACCAGTTTCACCAAAATTGATCATGTAGCCCCTACAACAGACAGCATCAATACAAAACGAATACGTTCATATTTTTAGGTGAAAACTCTTGCAAAAATTCTGAGTCATCATGGCATTTAACATAAAACAAAACTGTGTTGACTTTGTGTATTTGTACTAAGTAACTTATAGGCAACACTTCTAGGGTATACGGCAAACGCCACTTCTAGGGTATACTCTAATTTGTATGCTTATCTATTGACAATTGCAGTCTCGTATTTGAAACTAAAGCATGTTTTGTAAGTTGCCCTGAATAAGAGTATCAAAGACAAGACCCCCCCCCCCCCCCCCCGCCCCCACCTTATTTTTACAACCATTTCCTGTTTGTCCCTCCACAAACCTACATGCATTCTGAGAAACCACCCACTGCCACACTCCTATTTATAGAGGTAAAACCGACAACAAGTACATAAAAATACAAAATGTATATGTGCATATAAAATAAAAATAATAAATAAAAAGTACTGGTTACACTTTGATGGTCCACTTTAGACACTCTACTAACTAACTTGTCAACTAACTCTCATTAAATCATGAATAGACTGCAGAAGACTGTTAGGTGTTAGGGTTAGGATTAGAACAATAAGTTGACATATGGATTAGAACAATAAGTTGACATATAGTTGCAAAGTTTCTTTGAATGTCTATTGAGGACCATCAAAATAGTAATAAAGTGTTAGCAGATATTAAGCAGACAGTCTACTAATACTCTAATAAGAGTTAGTTGACATGTAGGGACAACATTAATTGTCTTAAGTGGACCATAGAAATTCAGTGTTACCAAATTAGTTTAGTTATAAGCACTGGTAGAAGTGCCATGTCCTCAAAAAAATAAAAAAAAAATAAAAAAAAAGGAAATAAAGGGCCGTTTGAGGCCACGGTCTCCCCAAGAATAACATCAGCTCTATTTCCCTGATGTTATCATTAAATGGATATATCACTCACAAAAATAGTTCCTGTAATGATGTAATGCACCTCAATGAATTAGTCATTTCTTGTTTTTATTTAAACACGTCAGTAAAAGCACCGGCATGTGTTTGAAATAGTGCGCAGGTGTTTCTGAGCGTGAGCAAAAACACGAGAGAATGACTGCATGAAACAGATAAAGTGATAAACAAACCATAAAGCTTCTAGGTTATGCTGAGCTCATGTCCTCTACTCTCACTATTAATCATCGTGGTTTTGGAGCGAGCAGGAAGGTGGTAATGCCCTGTAGCCGTGGGTTGTTTCAGCTCAAACAAAAAAGAACAGATATTTTGAACAAGAAAAAAAATTCCATCAGTGAGGGTGGGGAGATAATGTAAAGAAAAGGGATTACGGTGCAACAAACACCATATAATTTTTTTGAGATCTGAACACATTTCACTTTATATCAACACACAATATCCATTAACTAAGGTCTAATTAACATTGTAGGAGCCATGTAATGGGAAAGTCATGTGACCAAACTATAATGGGAGTGTCATTAATTAAGAGGGGTTAAAACACCTGTTGTGTGTGTGTGTTCATGAAAGAATGGGGGTGAGTGCTGGAGCACATATTTTGTTGACCGTGCAAACGTGCAAACGTGAAACTTGTACAAAATAAAACAACATGCAAGCTTCATGGATAAACGCGTCACAGAAGTCATTCCTCCACTCAGCTCCTTAGCGGTTTTTGGTTTGTTTTTTATGTGCCGCTACAAGTTAGTCAACAAACATTGTTAACAAAACAAGAAACAGGTTATGCCATAATGAAGAATCAAGCTTGAGGGCAGCTACTACTATGGTCATTCGATTAATTTAGGCAGTTCGTGACCAAGAGTTCACAGCTCAAAACATGTGTAAGTTCTGTGACAGATGAGATGCACGGCAGAGGTTTTGGTTCATCAGAGGACGGGCGTCGCAGACATAAGCAAACAAATGCAGTTAGGACCAGAACTGGGTGTAGATACGCTCTTTAGACATAGAAAAAAATTCAGCATATCCATT